AGAGATAATAAATAATAGATATAAGAAATAACTCTGATTTCATTATTATATTATTAATAGGCGACCTGGCAAACATTGTTTTGTTACTTCTGGATGGAGCCTTAACACCTAGTGGTATAAAAATAGCCTTGGACCCATATTCAGCAACACACAAGTTTCTTGCTTATTCTTCTTGTGATGAATCTGCATTCCGAATAAGCGGTAGAATAAAAAAACTTGACTATTCAAAAGTGCTTATATTAAGTTTATTTGAATAAAGATTATTTCTATTTCTATTTCTATTCAGACCTAGCAAATATACTGATTTGCCATAAAATCGTTCGTGTGGACACCTGGTTAAAAATATAACTGTGTTTCTTGTCAGTTCTTCTCACCTCGAAATCATACCGACTGACTCCGAACTGACTGTAGATTTGACATATCATAAGAGTCTGTAATAACTTCCATAAATAAAGATATTTTGAATTTGAATTTGGAATAGAATTTCCTTTTTTGTAATTTTTTAAAAAATATAATTTTCGTTTCTATATTTTTTTTATTATGAAAATAAGAATATAGTCTAAATAACTATTGAGATTACTGAGTGTAAGGAAAGATCTAATATATGTCCTCAAGCCTCAGGTCGGCTCTAAACTTTTCCATTGTAAAACGGAAGCAATCTAGCCAAGATTAAATCCAGCTGCGGTCGACCGTGAACACTGCGGGTAGATGGTACCATTTCAGATTGCACAAGTAGTCTAAAATACACTAGAATAGAAAATATACGTTATAAATGTAAAAGAGTCCCGAATGAATGGTTATAGTTTAAAATCCCGGCATATCTATACATTGATACGTGAAACAGAAACTATGTATCTATTTTTACTTGCGCGGATGGAGGGGTATGTAATTTCGTACACTTAAGGAGTGCACAATGCTAATATATTTTTATAAATTATGTATATAAAATACATTAAATAAAAAACATTGCACGTACTGTCATATATTTGACACATAAATACATATGTACTGTTTTGTTTATTGCCTGTGCGACTGCCAGTGACTGTGATCATAAAAATAGAAATAGAAATATTCTTTATTCAAATAAACTTAATATAAATACTTTTGAATAGTCACATTTTTTTTATTCTACCGCTCATTCGGAACGCAGACTCATCACAAGAAGAATGAGCAAGAAACTTGAGTATTGCTCTTTTAAAAGAAGTATAGTATAGAATGTTTGAAAATAGAACCTTAGTGATGTTTAAAATTAAAATTCGAATTTATTATTTTTGAATTTGGAACACTTTTGAATAGGCACTTTTTTTATTCTACCACTCATTAGGAACGCTGACTCACAAGACGAATGAGCAAGAAACTTATGTGCTCTTTTAATAGAAGTATAGTATATAGTTTTTGAAAATAGAAGCTTAGTGATTTTCAAAATTAAAATTCGAAATTATTATATTTGAATATCGAATAGTAGGCGACCACTATTTATAGATATTATTTAAGTAACAATATTATATGAAATGTTCTGGTAATCTATAGTTAGTCAGGGTTTAACATGAGCTAGTCACGGCTAGTGCAACCTAATGAAAAAGTAAAAAAATTAAAAGACAAAATCATTTATCCGCATAAGACCTTTCGGCCTCTTACGCACGTCATATTTTATATCATAATTCCTAACATTGAAAGAGGTAAATGCATTTATTTACCATGGATTTATTCGTGTTAATGTCCAATTAACTATATTCATAATGTGTATTATTCAGGTGGACCGACGATCTGGTCAAGATCGCTGGAAGGCATTGGATGCGAGCAGCGCAGGACCGATCGTCGTGGAGATCTCACTATGTCCAGCAGTGGACGTCTTCCGGGCTGCGATGATGATGATGATGATGATTAAACACTAAACTTTAATAAAATATGTTAAATATTACTTCGTTGTCCGCTTTCCTCATTTCAGCTGATACCGTGATTTACTTGTTTCTCCATATTATTGTTATTGTTCTAACAGCCTTTCCTACAAGGAGAGGACTACAAGGATTACTTTTATTCTTATATTACTTATATCCCCTTTCATTTTGGGGGAAGGGGATTGGTAGTAATGGGGACTGATGACCCCACTATTAGCAATGTACCATGCCAGGTTGACCTCCACGCGGTTCCCCCTGGAAACTATCGTGATAAATTCCTGGTTAATTAGTTGGGATAAATGACGATGGGGTAACTGACCTTACTTCATGCTCATCTAATCATCCTCACTGATGCTCCGCCAGCGTAAACCGTTAGCCCAGGCGGAAGCTCCATTCCATTATCATCCATAAAAAACCCTTTCATTCACTCGAACATTTTCCAAATTCAATTTACAAAAAAAAAAATTTAACATTAAAATAATTCCAAATTCAAAATTCCCGCCAACCGGTGTCAGGTAATGTACGAAAAGCGTTAACATTTCGTTCGCAACGTCTACATAGCTGACACCGGTTGGCGGGAACATTTGAATTTGGAATTATTTAATTGTTACATTTTTTTGGTTGGGTTGTAGGCAATAGCACTCTGTCCATACAGCCGTAAAGTTATAATCGTATATTGTATATTTTGGTTGGGTCGTAGGCAAAAGCACTCAGCCCATACAGCTATCAACATTATAATCGTGATTGAAACTTGTCAATAACAATTCCAACTCAATGTCAAGCAAGTCGGATTAAGTCTACAGTAGCGTTACTAGGTACTCTGAACGTAGTTAGTGCACAAAGGAAACTAGTTGCATCGTTGTCCGTACTCACATAGCTCGAACTGGGTTTTGCAGAGAAATTCCATCTTTTGTTATGTACTAAGTCGCTTTAAGATTGTATCAAATATATTACTGAAAATTGGTTTACATATGTACTTGTACTAATAAAGATATAAGTAATTTAGTATATATATTACATAAACCTAATAGATACACGACAGTAATTATTATTTCAAGTTTCATAAGTGCTAAAATTTAAGTTTCTGGTATTACGAATTTTCTATTCTATTCTAATCGTCTGTGAAAAATTAATCGAACTTAAAATCGATTATTCAATCAAGTATTAAGTAATCGATTTTATGTATGAGTTCTATATTATTTTTTTGTTATTCCTACGATATACCAGATACCTACTAATTAAGCGATTAAATTCTACAATTTAACGATATTCAATTTTCCTAAACGCCAAACAAAGCTTGGTCACCCAGATACTTACCAATTAAACGGTTAAGTACATCTATTTAACATTACTTAGTCAATATCAAGCGGAGCTCGGTCACCCAAATACTAATTAAGTGATTAAATTGTACGATTGAAGTTAAAAAAAACAATAAATTTGTGTTATCTATATATAAATAAAATTGGGGTGTCTGTTTGTAATATCGAAATAACCGTTGTTTACTACATGCTTATGAATATAAAATAACATTTTTTATGGCATTGGATACGAGCAGCCCAGGCCCGATCGTCGTGGAGATCTTTGGGGGAGACCTTTGTTCATCAGTGGATGTCTTCCGTACTGAGATGATGATGATGATGATGAACATTTTTTATAATTTTTGTCTGTCTGTCTGTTTGTTCTGGCTAATGTCTTAAATGGCTGGACCGATTTTTGGCAGGTAGCTGATGTAATAAGGAGTAACTTAGGCTACTTTTATTTCAGAAAAATAAAGTTAAATTCCACACGGACGAAGTCGCGGATACAGCTAGTTTTAGAAATAATCTTTATTCAAACAAACTCATTGCAAGCACTTTTGAATAGTCATATTTTGGTTCTACCACTCATCCGGAATGCAGATTCATCACAAGAAGAATGAGCAAGAAACATGTGTATTTATCTTTTGAATAGATGTTTTTTTTTATATAAATAACTAGCTGTCCCGGCGAACGTTGATTTGCCACATAAATTAATAATTCTATAAAAAAAAAGGGTTGGTCATAGAAGGGTGAAAATTTAGGGTTGTATGTATTGTTTAATGACACATAATAAAAAAATATAACTAAAAAATTTTGCCCAAAAAAATAATGTTAGTGGTGGACAACCCTTATCACTTAGGGGTGTGAAAAATAGATAGTAACCCATTCTCAGACCTACTGAATATGCATATACATAAAATATCATAAAAATCGGTCAACCCGTTTCAGAGGAGTATGTAACTAACATTGTGACACGAGAATTTTATGTATAAGATTACACAATATATATTAATTGTACAATTAAGTTATGTAAATGAAGTTCAAATTGACTTATATACATATATATATATATATGTAAGTTTATTATATTATTTTGTATTGTATTGTATTATATGTGTTCGCGCCATTTATAAACATATCAAGTGGTATGGTATTATTCCCCATATCCTAATCCCTTTCCCGCGCACAGTATGTCACCTGAGGTCGCCCGACGACCTCGTCTACTAACGTGAATGGTGACATCTCGTCCCAACCGCTCCGCTTTAAATTAATTAATATAATATATTGACAATAAGAATAAGTAACTTTGTGTGCATGTCTGTGTTAAACTTAGTATTCATCGAGTGCAGCAGCTGTGCAAGAATACACCCTCACCAGCCGTAGGTACGTACTGTGCATCCTCCCTTATTTCCTTCATACAGTCCACTTACCTTACCCGCTACCCCCATTTCTCCATGGTACGCCTTCGAACCGGATACCTACCGCTTAAATACTATAATTAGGACGAGATTTACATCCCCGCATTGATAGGTACATAATTTCATTATATTATACCGCCCGCTATAAGCCATACCGCTTCTTTGTACCTATTCGTATATTCACCCGCGCATACGCATTTTCTGTACTTAATATATTAGTACGCCATACCTATAAGCCTAGTCTTGGGTATATTTTCTAATAATTACCGCATTTACCGCTTAATTAATAATAATACTTTATTATTTGTATAATACATATTACGCAGTAAGCGTACATACCTACCTACATTAATTTGTATTTTTCAACGCCAATAATCGTAACGATAATGGAGTCGAATTTAAAAATGCTAGAAGCTAAAAACAAAGCTATATTTCAACGTATTACAAGATTGCGTGATACTTGTAAAAATCTGTCACCGTCGTCAATCGACTTACGCTCCGCAGAGGCATTCATGGCGGACAGTGAAACCATTGATATACTGCGCCATGAATATATACAAAATTTAGATTCTATAAACGAGTTACAAATGCAGTTGAATCCTAAATTTGAACCTGATTACCAGGCACTTTTAACGTTTGAAGATATTTTTAGTCGAATAAAAAGATGTCGTTTAATATTAAGCGAAGCGAATAAGCCTTCGTCTTCACAATCGGTACCGCATAATAAATCTAGTATCAAACTAGAACCTCTCTGTATTCCTTGTTTTGACGGGAATATGTCCACCTGGTCTAGCTTTTATGAATCCTTTAGGGGTAATATTCATTGTAACACCGATTTAACCGATTCTCAAAGAATTCAGTATTTACTTAGTAAATTAACTGGAAGCGCTCAAAAAATAATGGCCGGTATAATTCCGTCTGGTGATAATTATACTTCCATATGGGAAAGTTTAGTAAAGAAATATCAGGATAAAAGAGCCGTAGGTTCATATTATATTTCTACATTATTGAACATTAAATCGGCCACAAATAATTCCGCTTCATTAAATAATTTCATCGAAACTTTCGATGCCGCTGTTGCTGCTATGCGTCAATTAAAGATTGATGATATGCAAGATTTTATTTTATTGAACTTAGCCTTACGAAAGGTGGATTTAAGTACTACACAGGCTTTCGAAATGACCGCTAGAAATAAAGATATACCGAGTTATATGGATTTTGTAGAATTTATAAAAGGTCAGGTGAAAATATTAGACCGCACGAATAATAATGTTAATTCAGTAAGCCGCAATACATTAACTAATATTAAAAACAACCGCCCGCAAAATGTACATTCGTTTGTTACACGAAGTGACACTTCTGGTCACCGAGCTCCTTGTTCTATGTGTAATACTTCGGAACATTATCAGTTATATACCTGTTCCAAATTTAAATCAATGCCGCCGAAAAATCGATTAGATTTTATTAAATCTAAACGAGGTTGTGTAAATTGCCTTAGTATAACGCATTCTGTGTCCACTTGTAATTCTAAATACAAATGTAGAACTTGTAATAAGCGACATCATTCCTTATTACATTTAGATAAGGCACAAAATAATAATACACCGCTTTGCACTCATCGATCTAATGTGATGAGTGATCGATCTACGATCGCCGCTCCCGCACTCCCGCCAGTCCCCTGTCGTAATGCAACGCAATGTAATTTGACTCCTGACGGGGACTCAAAAGCGCCCATTGAAATCGCGATGCCCGCACCTTTGTCGTTGTGCACTCGAGTACCTACCACTACAGCAGCCATGCCTGGTGTTGTATGTCCAACGAGTAAAGTGCGTACAGAGGTACTTCTGTCTACAGCGTCTGTTATTGTTCGTAACTATAACAAAAATATAATACGTACTGTTCGTTGCCTTTTAGACAATGCTTCGCAACATAACCTTATTACGATTGATTGTTGTAAACAATTAAACTTAAACATTATTCCGCTTACGAATTCATTTTTAAAATGTGTCGGATTAACAACGAGGCCTATAAAGGGTTATGTTAAATTAATGATTTCCGATAAACATAACGAACAAAGCTTCACTATAACCGCGTTAGTTGTCGATTGTATTACCGATCGGCTACCTATTGAATATATAGATACGTCTGTTATAAGTCATTTAGTCGACTTACCGCTTGCAGATCCTCACTGGCATATGCCAGGTGAGATCGAACTTGTATTAGGAGCAAATTTGTTCCCTTATATTCTTTTAAGTGGAAAAATAATAAGTCCACCCGCACCGCCAGCCATAGAAACTATTTTTGGTTATGTTTTTATTGGTGACGTTCCCTGTAATAATGCGACCACGTCTGATCGTGATCATACCGCGCCTCAACAAGACTCATCTTCCTCTGCTTTCTTAACATGTATTGAAAATAATCTTAATGATTCTCTCTCTAAATTCTGGGAATTAGAGGAGGTTCCTATAAATAAATATTTAAGTCCCGCAGAAAAGGAATGCGAGCAAATGTACTCTTCTACCGTGTCCCGCGACTCGTCAGGTCGTTATTGTACTGTTTTACCGTTTTATAAGGATCCAAGCGAGTTAGGTAATTCCCGTATCACTGCTTTTCGTCGCTTGCTATCGCTAGAACGCAAACTAGAAAGTACAGGTTTGCGCGCTGATTATAATGCCATCATAAAAGACTATATAGACAACCAATATTTATCTGAAGTTTTAAATACATCCGATAATATGGATGACGGTTACGTCATACCGCATCACCCTGTCATTAGGCAGGATAAAGACACCACCAAGGTCAGAATAGTCCTTGATGCAAGTGCTAAATGTCATAACGGCATTTCTCTAAATGATATTTTACATACGGGTCCTAATCTCCAAGCTGATTTATTTTTACTTTTATTAAATTTTCGTTTATTTCCAATCGCTATAACCGCGGATATAAAACAAATGTACCTACAAATTTTAGTAACCTACGAGTATCGTAAATATCAAAAAATACTGTACCGCTTTAATACGTCTGAACCCATACGTACCTTTCAATTTAATAGAGTTGCATTTGGTCTTAAGTCAAGTCCTTACCTTGCCATGCGTACAATTCGTCAGCTTTGTGATGATGAACGCGATAACTTCCCGCTGGCTGCTTCTATAGCTGAAAGGGAACTGTATATGGACGATTTAGCTACGTCTATACTAAATGAGGTTGATGCTGTCGAGGCTACCGCTCAATTAATTAATATGTTTAAGTCAGGTGGCTTTCAATTAGTTAAATGGTCTAGTAATTCAAAGAACCTACTAGAGAGCATTCCTACACCGCTGAAACTTGCACAGCAAGTTGAGTTTGATAGACGTGAGTCCCTTAAGATATTAGGGCTCGAATGGAACCCGCAAGATGATATTTTCGTTTTTAAAATCAATTGTGATGACCGCTTGTGTACAAAACGTACCATACTTTCCCTAATTGCCCGATTATGGGACGTATTAGGTTTTGCTGCGCCTGTCGTACTTACCGCTAAACTACTTATTAAAGATCTTTGGCTGCAGAAAGTCGGTTGGGATGATGTACCTCCGACAAATATAACCGCTATTTTTACTACATTTAAACAACAATTACCGCTTCTTGCTAATTTAAAAATACCGCGTCATTTATCTGTCACGCAAGACTGTATAATAAATATCGTTGCGTTTTCGGATGCTAGTTTAAAAGCTTACGGCTGCGTTATTTACTTACATGTGACAGATCCCGCAGGCAATATATACGTGAGATTAGTCTGTGCGAAATCAAAAATCGCACCCGTTAAGGTAGTCTCACTTCCGCGACTAGAACTTTGCGCCGCCGTTTTAATGTCTAAACTAACTAAACTAGTTTACGATGCTTACTCTTCAGGCACGTCTGTACAGAACGTCTATGCATTTTCTGACTCGAAAATTGCACTCTCATGGATTCATTCTTCACCACATCGGTGGAATATCTTCGTTAGCAATCGTGTGGCTAAATGTCAGGAAAATTTACAATCAAAACATTTCTATCACGTGGCTGGATTCAATAATCCAAGCGACTGTCTTTCAAGAGGTTTACTGCCTAAACAATTACTTACCCATGAGTTGTGGTGGAACGGTCCCGCGTGGCTGAGTAGCCCCGTCTGCTCTTGGCCGGTAGAGTCATTTACACCTGAAAAATATGAAAACTTACCTGAATATAATACTAAGACGTTCGTTACAGCTGCTTCCAATACTGTAGTCTCACCGCTTTGTGATCTTGCATCTAAAGTTTCGTCCTGGAACAAATTATTACGAATTACTATTTATATACTGCGATTTATACGCGTATTGCCCCGCTCTAAATATATTGAAACCGCTCATTTAAATATCGCTGAAAAATATATACTTACCGCAATTCAGGTCGCTCATTTTTCTCATGTTATTAGAGATCTTAAAAAGGGTAATTTACCTACTGGAACTCTGCGTAAATTAGATCTTTTTATTGATGACGATGGTATAATTAGGATCGGAGGTAGATTATCAAATGCTAACTTACCTTTCCAGGCAAAACATCCCGTTTTATTGCCTAAGCGCGACCATATTACTTATTTAATAATAGATCATTTTCACCGCGTTAACTGTCACACAGGTGCCATTCTTCTTCGTTCTTTAATTCACCAAAGGTGGTTTAAGAATACAGACAATGTTAAGGTTGGTACTGTAGTGCTTATACATGATGATAACGTCTCACCACTGCGGTGGCCAATGGGTATCATTGTGAAAATATATCCAGGCTCAGATGGTATTGCCCGCGTAGCATCTGTTAAAACTCAAAATGGTTTACTCAAGCGCCCAATCGTTAAATTAAGCCCTTTACCTTCTCAATAAACTCTATTTTTCTTATAAACCGCATTTACTTATTATTTACCGCTAGGTGTATTCTATTAAGTTTTTCTTATTATATTACGCTCTATAACTAATTATAAGTATGTTAGGAATATATATTATAATGTGATGTACATTATAATATATATTGCTCTTCTTTGTATTTTCTTTGAGAAACCCTTAGTTTCTCAAGGCGGGGGAGGATGTTCGCGCCATTTATAAACATATCAAGTGGTATGGTATTATTCCCCATATCCTAATCCCTTTCCCGCGCACAGTATGTCAACTGAGTTCGCCCGACGACCTCGTCTACTGACGCGAATGGTGACATCTCGTCCCAACCGCTCCGCTTTAAATTAATTAATATAATATATTGACATTAACAATAAGTAACTTTGTGTGCGTGCCTGTGTTAAACTTAGTATTCATCGAGTGCAGCAGCTGTGCAAGAATACACCCGCTCTACAGTCGCAGGTACGTACTGTGCACTCCCTTTATTTCATTCCATACAGTCCACTTACCTTATCCCGCTATCCCCCATTTCTCCAATATGTCCACTTCTACATTTATAAATATATAAAATAAGAATTGATATTAGTTATAAATATCAAAGTATCAGATAAACACAAATCGGCCCGAGGGTATCAATTATAGCGATATTTAAATGAAATTATAATTTTATGCACCGTTGTACTGGAATTTGGTTGATAAAATCAACGTTTCGAGCAGGGTTCCTGTAAAAGGTACAGTTTTACGTCGCTTATTTTATAAGTAACGCCTATAAACGGAGATCGGTCCTGATAAGTGGGGAGATTAGTATGGAAACTGGTTTACGGGGACTTTGAAGGGCCGGTACTATCATACAAACATTAATATTATATAGACACATGAATGATTACATGGGAAATAAACTTATAGAGCATACAATTAAACTAAAACTAATAAAAATTCGTTACATAGTATAAAATAAATCGCTGTCGCTGTCTGTCCCTATATACATAGGGACAGACAGCGACCCTATGTACATAGGGACAGACAGCGACAGCGATAGCTTAAATTTTTTAAACTAAACTAAAAAAACCGCTTCAAAATCTTTGAAAATGATTTTGAAGCAGTTTTTTTAATAGATAGAGTGATTCAAAGGAAGGTTTATATATATAATACATGTACACCCGGGCGAAGACGGGGCGAGTAGCTAGTGGAAAATAAATTAACTAATTGCACACACGCATAAAATTAACCTAAACCTAAAAAACTTCACTATTACATAGCATAAAACAAAGTTGCTGTCGCTGTCTGTCCCTATGTATGCTTAAATCTTTAAAACTACGCAACGGATTTTGAAGCGGTTTTTTTTAATAGATAGAGTGATTCAAGAGGAAGGTTTATATGTATAATACATCTACATCCGGGCGAAGTCTGGGCGAGTAGCTAGTATAGTATAAAATAAAGTCGCTGTCGCTTTCTGTCCCTATGTATGCTTAAATCTTTAAAACTACGCAACGGATTTTGATGCGGTTTTTTTTAATAGATACAGTTATTCTAGAGGAAGGTTTATATGTATAATACATGTACACTCGGGCGAAGACGAGGCGTTCATAACCAATTTACTAGCACAGTAATATGCTTTTTTCAGTAAGCAGCCAAATTTTAATAACTAAGTCTAACACTTATATATATTGTCATAATAATTCTATTTTTAAATATAATTATTATGACATTATGATAAGTTATTATTACTGCTATGTTTTTACTATTATTATTATTGTTATCATCACTACAATTATTATTATCATTTTATATTTATTCATAATTATTTATAATATAAATAATCGTCTATAGACTAAAAATAGTACATTAACAGCCATTTGGTTAATTTATTTTTAAAATATTGTCCTGTCAATTCTATTAAATCTGCATTTCCTTGAAATAACGTTAAGTTACTTTTGTATAATACTAACTTATACTTTCTTGTTTTTACATTATGACTACTAAAGAATAAAAAAGTATATTTTCTTCAGCAGTAGCAAATTAGAAATTATGTTTGCGAGAACTCTATTAATTAACCCGTCGTATTTTCATTCCAGGTACGTCCATAACCGTAATCTTCACTCAGTTGCTAATGGCCAGCACTGCATACACAGAAGGCAAGTATATTATTATTAAGACTAGTTTAGGCCGTGACTTTGTACGCGTGTACATTTGTAGATTCATCTATTGGGAGTGATGAAACAACAATCTATTTCTTTTTTGATTAATGGATGAATAAAAATGTAAAGTTAACGTTTGAAAAATTTTATTTTTTTAGTTACTTTGTTTTAAGGCTATAGATACAAGTCCTTTACGCTATGTCTTATTTGATTAATGAATTAATAAATATGTAAGGTTGGCATTACATATGCCAAATAGTTAACGTTTGAAAAATTTCATATTTTTATATACTTTGTTTTAAGGCTATAGATACAAGTCCTTTACGCTATGTCTTATTTGATTAATGAATTAATAAATATATAAAGTTGGTATTACATATGCCAACTAGTTAACGTTTGAAAAATTTCATATTTTTATATACTTTGTTTTAAGGCTATAGATACAAGTCCTTTACGCTATGTCTTATTTGATTAATGAATTAATAAATATATAAAGTTGGTATTACATATGCCAACTAGTTAACGTTTGAAAAATTTCATTTTTTTATATGCTTGGTTTTAAGACTATAGATACAAGTCCTTTACGCTATTTCTTATTTGATTAATGAATTAATAAATATATAAAGTTGGCATTACATATGCCAACAAATTAACGTTTGAAAAATTTATTTTTTTTATATACTTTGTTTTAAGACTATAGATACAAGTCCTTTACGCTATGCCTTATTTGATTAATGAATTAATAAATATATAAAGTTGGTATTACATATGAGAACAAATTAACGTTTGAAAAATTTATTTTTTTAGTTACTTTGTTTTAGTGCTATGAATATAAGTTCTTTTGAGCTCTGCCTTAACAAGTAAACTGAACTTGAAGTTTAACAATACAAATTACATAAATTAAAATCATTTAAAATGAATATTTTCTCTCTTTTATTTTTTTTTTTTGAACCATACAATATTTATTTACTTACTCTTTGGTAGAGTATTCTCCCAATATCCTTTAGCCTATATGTTGGTATATAATTAACAATGTATTTTGCGAGAATTTTACGAACATTTTATGTTAAATATAAATAAACAATCATGGTATAAAAAGGTATTATTAGTACTGTTCAGTAATAATCCCATTGCTAACAATGACTAACAATGTACCATGTCAGGTTGACCTCCACACGGTTCGAATGACGAGTGTGCATGGCAATAGTTGTTCATGCACTGAATTTTCATTTAATGTTAGACATAGACACCTATATAAATATACATTGTAAATAAACTGGCTTTAAAAAAAAAGTAATTTAATTCAATTGAGTTTCTTGCCAGTTCTTCTCAA